TTAGGGATTTCTATTATTTATATTATATTATACAATTTAAAGTTTATTTGCAGACTTTATTAGAGTATTAATAGGACTGCTAAAGTTTAGAAAATTCTTTACTTCATTATACTGTCAACAATGGCATCGTCAGAGAGGGAAAGAATAACAATTCTCATGATGCGGGGATTTGGTGATAGAGAAAGATCATACGGTGATGTTGTTAATTTATTCAACGATACGGATAAAAATTCAAGAACGGATAAAAAATTATCGTAGACATCTACGATAATTCGACAAACATGTTTCAGACAAAAGTTACTTTTCTTCAACGTAGCATTATTATGCAATAAAACATGGGGATTTCCCTTGAAGAAAACGATTTAACAAATTTTTGCCGAATGCAGCGCCATCTATCAGGAATCGAAAAAAAGGTTTAAACAAAATTTACGTGTTTTTGGACGTAGAATTCGAATCTGCAATAAAAAGTAGGGGTTCTCATTTAAGATTTTAAAGTTGTCCCCCGCCCCACCCACAGGGATGGGGGTGGGGGGGTCAATTTTGGTATCATTCGATAGCTCTTTCAAAAATAGGAAATACGTATTTTTCCGTTTTCCGATCCACCGACAATTTCTCGGGATATTCAACCGTTCCGGGACTTTTAGACCACCCTGTATATTTATTAAATTAATGTCATTTATTTATTTCTTTATTTAATTTATTTAAATTTATTTATTTACTTTATTTATTTAAAGTAATTAATTAATTAATTATATTTATTATATTTATTTTATTTTGTATTTAGAAATTATCCCACATTATTCATTAGTATAACCAAGACAAGCGGGCGAAAGATCTGATCCGACAGCGAGTTAACACGAATCAACTGAATAATCATGTTATTTGTTATGGATTTGCCGCGGCATATAAATTTATGTTACACATTGTATACACAAATTTGACAGCACCATGATCACTCACCGCGCATGAGCGAGGACAGTGATTCGCATCCTGTATTTTTTTGCGCGTTCGTAAACTTATAAAAAAAAAGTGTCGCAATCTCAGTGCTCCCGACTGTACATACATATAAACATTCGTATACAGAGTGTCAAATTCGTTTGTGACCATTCAAAAAATAATGGTAGATTGGATCAAGCTGAGAAGAAAAGTTATATACCATTTTGCAAAATTCGTAATAATTATCGTGTAATTAAGAAAAACGTCTGAGCGTCTGAGCGGATAAGCGCACGGAGGAGCGGAAGGCCGGATTCGGCAGACATGTCAACAAATACACCATTTTGCATGTCTGCCGAGCCCGGCCTTCCCCTCCTCCGTGCACTTATTGGCTCAGACGTTTTTCTTAATTATACGATAATTATTACGGATTTTGTAAAATGGTATATAACTTTTCTTCTCAGTTTGACCCAATCTACTATAATCTTTGGAATGGTCAAAAACGAATCCAACACCCTGTATATGAATATATGCTACATATTAATATTGCTATGTAATGCGTAACAAAAATTATATTTTTCGCAATATTTCGGGATTCCGGTATTTTTTCCTCACATTTTTGAGGTAACGTGGCGCTCGCTTGTAACGCGAGCGCCACGTTACCTCAAAAATTGTTCACGCTTGTAACGCGAGCGCTACGTTACGCGAAAAATGTGAGAAGGAAATTTCCCTCTCCACTGGCCTGGTTGACGACGACGATAACGACGATGTTTCTTAAAAATTAAACGAGAATTTAGAGCCGCGGACTTTGTATTGCATTATCTCCACTCGTGGGACACGTGGGACAAAAATACAAACACTTTTATTGTGCAAATCGAACCCAAGCTATCGATTGAGACCACTCAGAAGTTCGCTGGATCAACCGTTGTTGAGATCCGAAAATCTGAGAACCTGTCAACTCGCGTACTCGCATAAGCTACACGGTCGGTCTCACGCGCGCGTTCTAGCTACGCTTATACTTGGTGCGAGACACTACCGTGTCTCGTGATACCTTAGTATAATTGATGTTTTTCGGTTTTAAGAAGCACAATTCATCTAGAACTATACATTTTGTAAAATTTGATGAGATGTAGTAAGAAAACTTCTGTAGGACAAAATGGAAATTTGGCTGTTTTGTAGTTTTAATTTACCTAAATCGATATTTTTGCTTTAACAACCGAAACTATTTGTCTTCATGACTCATAAAGAAGTATTAAAAAGAAAGGCAACACTTTTAATAATTTGTGAGTGTCCATGAAATAATATACCGGCTTCACACGCACGCACGCACGCACATACACGCGCGCGCACACAAACGCACATTTGTATTAATCGTAATTTTTAATATTCAAAATAAATGTTAATAATTAATGTAGTGTGTAAATTTTATTATTAATTGATTAATATAATATTAAAATAATCTTATGTAATTTAGAAAAAAATATGTTAATACAGAGCTCTATCTATGTATACCTAATGAATAAAATTACGAAACGTAATGCACGAAAAACAGAATAACACTAACAAACAGCCTAGGTGAAATGGAGCGCGACTGTAACTACGCTTGCGTAGATAACTGACAAAATAGAATAATTCCAAGAAACGCTTTGTTTCAAGTCTATAGAATGATACATAGAATAAAAGCATAATTTACATAATTGCTAGCACCGGTAACTTTTTTCTTCATGCTACGAATATTGCTTTCATTTTGGTGCTATTTTTATCACCTAATTTAGCTATTACATTGAACTAAAATTTGCAATATTTCATGATATCTGAAACTATAGAGAAAAGAACTCCCAAAAGGAAAAATAGTATCTAATAAAAGATACTGTTGAATGCTACTGAAGTAAAAGACACTAAAGAACTTTGAATACGCGTATGCAACAAAAAGGAATGGAGTTTCTTGGATATCACTACTATAAACTATATCGAGTCTTTTTATTGTCACTTGGTCTTTGGCCGTATGGTGATTCATTCTTTAAACGAATTTATGCTGTTTTCTGTATCTTTACGATTCTGTTTTTGATAATTGCTCAGGTATAATTTACAAATTATTCATACTAGATATTATAGATGCAGATGGAAGGTTAACCCATAATTATCACTGACGGGGTATAAACGTACCCCACTGCACACAATTATGCAAATGTTTCTTGCGTTGCACGTAGTTGCACCTCCATGTATTATCAGTGCCGATCCGTATCTCACAATAGGAAGATGCGCGCCGCGGACAAGTGTTTATAAGTGTTTGTAAAGAGATATCGTTTGTCTGGAATATATTTATACTCCGCGAATGACTGTGATTTTTTCTTCTGTTGTTTTTAATTAGAATTTACTATTAGAGAAGTTGATTAAAAGATTGATAGAAATATTATTTAATTGTGCTCTAGATTACTGTTATTTAGAAAAAAATATCCTCAATTTAATATGGTTGAAAAGTAGAAAAAACTTTATTGTTAGAGCCCTGCAAACCTAATTTTCGATTATATTTGTAACATGTGATAATCTTTCGGCTTTAGAAGCCGATTATTTTTTCATTATATTGTTTCATTATATATACACACATCATAAAAATTATTACATCAAACCAAAAAGCACAAACTTTTTAAATTTTTTTATTTAAAATTTATATCACAATTTGGTATACAAAAACTACCTCGCAGGTGTAGTTGAGAGATTTTATAATTGTAATTGAGGATTAATACTCAATATTTTATTAAATTACAAATTTAACAAAAATTATTGTATAATAGTACGTCACCTTTAGACTCATATTTATAATTTATTTGCTTGACTTTATTTTATTTTTTTAAATTATAATACTTTCGCGATAATATTTTTACAAAGTATTAGTTATACATAAAAAGCTTAATTTTTGAATGCCGCGTGCAATGTAAAAATTCTATTAGCTAGTTTGAAATTTAACCTATTGTTGAAAATACATACATATATTGTAATGCTCGTTATATATATGCAATAATTTATTTTCATACATTCGCTTATTATATTAGTGTTGAAAAAATAAAAAGACCTGATTATATAACTTGCACATAGCATATTCCAATAAAAGTATATGTACTATACAATCTATGTTTCAATAAAATAATTTTAATGTTAAAAAAATTCATTTTGTACTTTTTATTATTCGAAAATTTTTTATCTAATTAAAAACATTTTTTTAATTATGACGAAAGAATTTTTAATTTTGTATAAAACATGCACTTTATATTTTTGACTGGTAAAAGGGGCAACTGTTTTGCTAGCCTGACAATTATGTACACGATATGTACATATGTATCTAAAATTTATGATTTCAGTTATTGAAACTATTTACAACGGAATTAAATCTCGAATTTGTGTTAACTGATCTGTCGTTCGCTATTCCTTCCATAGTTTATTTTTTAAAATATAGTACTTTTTATATACATTCTCAAAAGGTAAGATGTTACACAAAATTAATTCACCGATTCATCCAAGAATTTTTGTAAATAAACTTAAACCATGAAACAGATTAAAGCATTAATGGAACATATTAGAATTGACTGGAATGCGTTACAAGACGAAGAAGAAGTCGAGATAATACGGAAATATGCCAAGACTGCAAGAAGATACATGTACACATTTGCAGGTATAATATTAAACTAAAAAAATCAAATTATACGAAATAGAATGACTATCGTGTAAGTTTTTATAGACTGAGCCTTCAGGTACTTTATGATTTCAGGTTTAGCTTATCCCGGCACTGTTGCTTATGTTTCAATGCCGTTTTTACCAGACATTCTTGACATTGTGGCACCATTAAATGAATCACGCATGCGAAATCTTCCGTTTCTAGTGGAATACTTTCTTGATGAACAAAAATATTTTTATCTCATATTATTGCATATGATTGCAACGATTATTATCGGAATTGTAACAGTTGTAGCTACAGAGACTTTGACTTTTGCACTCATTTATCATATTTGCGGCATGTTCGAAATAGTTAGGTAAGATATGTTGTGCAGATTGAAGATTTAAGTATTAATTAATAAGAATAATTTTAATACAAGATGTTTAAAAAGTTCTTTGTCAATAAGATATTTTAAAAATGAGACATTTTGGAGAAAAATATTAAATACGAAGGTTGTTAGATTTCAAGCATAGCATTAGGAGGCCATATTAGTTAGATTACCTTGTGGTTTCTAAATAGAAAGCTATATTTTTGTAATATAGTATTATAGTACATGGTCTGTCCTTAAAGTAGTCGGACTGAGTCAATTACAAAATATTTATTGACAGAAATAATACATGCGCTCAATATTCTTCAAAGTAGGACCCTTCTGCATCCACACACCGCTGGCAGCGGGATTTCCAGCCCTCTTACGCTTCCTGGAAGGCGGCAGCCGGAATGCTGTTGAGCTCCCTCGTCACGGCCTGTTGTAACGCTTCCATCGAGCCGTGATGGTGTCCTTTCAGGGCGGTTTTGAGGCGGAGGAAGAGGAAAAAGTCTGGTGGTGGAACGACGGGACTGTAGGGTGGCTGAGACAGGGTTGTGATGTTGTGTTGGGCCAGGTACGTCGCCACGCGGAAGGCTGTGTGGCTCGGCGCATTGTCGTGATGGAGCCGCCAGGAGTTGGCGATGGCTGGGCGGACGCGGATGATGCGTTTTCGATTCAAAAAGAGTGAACCACAGGGAATTTGTGCCATAGGGACAAACCCTTAAT